CCCATTTCTGAAGAAGGGTCCAGACCCGAAACGTCAGCTTTCCTGCTCCTCTGATGCTGCTTGGCCTGCTGTGTTCATCCAGCTCTATACCTTGTTATCTATTGTAATTACCTGTATACTTAACATCTTCAGCATGCCCCAAAGCACTTTATAGGCAATTTTTGAAGTGTAACCACTGTGGTAATGTGGGAAATGCAGCTGACAGTTGTGCACAGCAAGCTCACACAAACAGCAACTTGATAATCGCTACGTGATATTGGTTGAGATATGAATATTGACCAGGACAGTAGGCAGGACTAATCTTTGCTTTTTTAATAGTACCATGTGAAATAACTGAACAGAGGCTGGTATCCTGTCACCAAGTCACCCTTTATTTACATGTGCACAGTACTTGACACTGATCTGGCCTTCCTCAGAGCTAAATTTCAGAGTGAACAGAACCTCTGACACTCCTGTTTATAGTTGTCAGCCAGGGCTGCCTGATTGGACTAGGTTAATAGCTCCAATCAAGGAACTCATCATATGAGATCGACCTGGCTGACCTTGTTACAGCCACTACATCTCTCCCCGTATAAGTCCAGGGACTTGCAGCCTCTCCTGGGAAATTTTTGCACCAGGTCTAGTTCCTCCAGCTCAGCCTCAGATACAGGCAATGTGTACTGGACCATTGCCTACCCCTTGTGCCCAGAGTGTCTCAGAAGAAGTTCATCCTCCTCTTCAGGCAGTAAAGGTGTTGAGGCTGTGACATCTGCCATGTCCATCTCAGATTCCAAAGTTTCTTTGATGCTAGATGGAGGGTGAGAACCTACGTGTCCCGACAGCCTTCCGGCTGTTTTGAGGGGTCGGGGATGTTTTGCTCCTGCCCCCTTTGCAGTTTTCATGTGCTCCTCGTACTTGTGCAGCACTGCTTCACCTACCCAAACTTTGTACGCCACGGGACCTGACCTCACATTGACCATGCCCCTTACCCATTTCCGTCGTTTCAGAACCAACTTCATCCCCTGAAGCAATCCATGTCTCTCGCTTAGAGGAGGAGTTTTGTGTCCAGCATTGGCTTTCCTGATGCCGTTTCACACACAATCTTGCGCCCCCCCCCCCCCGATCCAGGAAGTTCAGATTTAATCTGGTGCAGAGTCTTCTCCTCATTAGCAACTCTGCTGGAGCTATCACTGTTGTCACATGAGGGGAGGTCTGATAATCAGATAGGAATCTGGACAACTTGTTATCAAGTGAAGCTGCAGGCTGTTTGTTTAAGCCTGCTTTCAGAGTTTGGACTGCTCTTTCTGCCAGACCATTGAAAGATGAATGGTATGGAGCTGTGCTTATATGCTGAATGCCATTTGACTTTAGGAAATACTCGAATTCTTTGCTGGCCCATTATCTGTGACTGGCACTTCCAGGAGTCTGTGCATTGCAAAAGATACATGTAATTTTTCTGTTGTCTTCCCCGTGTTTGACAAATGAACTCAATGCACGTCAAACCACTTTGAGTGGGCATCCACAATGAATAAGAATGTTGAACACATGAAAGGGCCAGTGTAGTCAATGTGTAACAGAGTCCAGGGTATTTCCTGTCATTGGCACAAATTTGGTGGTAATTTTTGACCTTGCTGGCACCCTAGGTACTGCCCCACCAAGGGGGCTATATCTGCATCCAATCCTGGCAACCAGATATAACTTCTCACCAACATTTTCATTTTTGAAATCCCTGGATAACTCTGGTGGAGTTCAGCCAGTATTTGGTGGCAGTCTTTACTCAGGACAATCACTCTTACTCCACGTGATAATATGCCGTCCTTTATGGAGATCTGGTCTCGCCAGGTCCTGGAAGGTTTCGTTTCTAGTTGTGACAGTCCTTTTGTTTCTCCATCACCACCAGGTGTTTCAGTTTTGCCAGGACTTGATCTCTTTGTGTCCACAGTGTGATATTGTCAGTGATGATGGGAAGGGTGTCCATGAAGTTTAAAACTAGAATGGACTCTTTGAGTGGCGACACCACCAGTGGTGCATCTGCCAGCGGGAGGTGGCTCAATGCATCCACATTTGTTACTTGGCCTCCCGGATGGTGTTCCAACTTGTAATTGTATGCAATTAGAATGAGAGCCCATCACTGAATTTGACCTGAAGCATGGGCAGCACGGCCTTGTCCTCTTTGAGTAGCCCCAGCAGGGGTTTGTGGTCTGTTACTATTACAAATTTATGTCCATAAGGGTATTGGTGGAATTTTCTCACTGCTAAACCTTCCTTCTTCATCTTTGTGTATTTGCACACTGCATCAGCCAAAGTCCAGGAACCGTACGCTATTGGGTGTTCCTCTCCATTGGTCCATCTGTGAGCCAACACTACCCCGATACTGTACAGGGAAGCACCACATGTCAGCACCCGTCTCGTATATTGATACAAACCCCTATAGGTATTAATTGTATCATACTTCTGGGAATTCTCGTCTAACTGCAGTTGAAGGTAGACATGGCTCATGTCCAGCTTCATGAAGGACAGACACCACAGCCAGCTTTGTGTATAAATCCTGTATGCAAGGAATTGGGTATTTATCCAGCTGTGAGAAGTGGTTTACCGTTTTGTTTAAAATCCCCACAAAAGTGAACTGACTCATCGGGCTTCACACAATTGGTACGACCAGTGCTGCTTATTCCACAAACTGGACTGGTTCAATGATTCAGAGATAGTAGGAACTGCAGATGCTGGAGAATCCGAGACAACAAGGTGCAGGGCTGGATGAACACAGCAGGCCAAGCAGCATCATAGGAGCAGAGAGGCTGACGTTTTGGGCCTAGACCCTTCATCAGAAAAGGGGGAGGGGAAGGGGGTTTTGAAATAAATAGGGAGAGAGTGGGAGGTGGATAGAAGAGGGATAGAGGAGAGGATAGGTGGAGAGGAAACAAACAGGTCGAAGAGGCGTGGATGGAGCCAGTAAACGTGAGTGTAGGTAGGGAGTTAGGAAGGGGATAGGTCAGTCCAGGGAGGACGGACAGGTCAAGGGGGCGGGATGAGGTTGGTCGGTAGGAGATGGAGGTGCGGCTTGAGGTGGGAGGAAGAACAGGTTAGGGAGGCAGGGACGAGCTGGACTGGTTTTGGGATGCCGTAGGGGGAGGGGAGATTTTGAAACTTGTGAAATCCACATTGATACCATTGGGCTGCAGGGTTCCCAAGCGGAATATGAGTTGCTGTTCCTGCAACCTTCGGATGGCATCGTTGTGGCACTGCAGGAGGCCCAGGATGGACATGTCGTGTGAGGAATGGGAGGGGGAGTTGAAATGGTTCGCGACTGGGAGGTGCAGTTGTTTATTGCGAACCGAGCGTAGGTGTTCTGCAAAACGGTCCCTGAGTCTCCGCTTGGTTTCCCCGATGTAGAGGAAGCCACAACGGGTACAGCGGATGCAGTATACCACATTGGCAGATGTGCAGGTGAACATCTGCTTGATGTGGAAAGTCTTCTTGGGGCCTGGGATGGGGGTGAGGGAGGAGGTATGGGGGCAGGTGTAGCATTTCCTGCGGTTGCAGGGAAAAGTGCCGGGTGTGGTGGAGCTGGAGGGGAGTGTGGAGCGGACAAGGGAGTCACGGAGAGAGTTGTCCCTCCGGAAAGCAGATAAGGGTGGGGAGGGAAAGATGTCTTTGGTGGTGGGGTCGGATTGCAGATGGCGGAAGTGTCGGAGGATGATGCATTGGATCCCCTTCCCCTCCCCCTTTTCTGATGAAGGGTCTAGGCCCGAAACGTCAGCCTCTCTGCTCCTATGATGCTGCTTGGCCTGCTGTGTTCATCCAGCCCTGCACCTTGGTTCAATGATTCCTTTGTTTTTAAGCATCCTGATTTCTGCCTCTACTTTTGCCCATAAGGCAAATGGCACTGAGCGGGCCTTACTGAATCATGGAATTGCTTCCTGATCCACATGCAAGGTGGCCTTGGCTCCTTTGATTGTCCCTAGACCTTACTGAAAAATGTCTGGATATTTAATTAGGACTTCACTCAGGCAGCTATTTTCTAAATGAAAAACATTGAGACAATCTATGTGAATCTTTCTCCACCAATTTTGCCCAATTAGGTTTGGGCCTGAGCCTTTCACTACAATCAGTGGTAACTGAACCAGTTGCTTCTCATAAGAGACCAGAACCGAAGTTCTATTCTTAATCTACAAAGGTTCCCTGGTATAGGTTCTCTGCCTAACCAAGGCCTTACACAAACTTAAGAGTTGGAATTCAGACTGAATTTTGTTAAAGACTGGTTCTGCAATCGCTGATACAGCCGTGCTGGTATCAACCTCCATTTGAACCATGTGACCATTTAACCAGATGTTTATTTTGATTGCTTCTGGTTTGGATGTTGCTACGCAATTTAAATGTTCCAAGCCAGGTGCAGGTGGGCTTTCCAGGGTGTGCACTCTCCTGGATACTAGCCTATGAGTTCTCATATTCAATTCAGGGTGAGTGAATCTCCGATTCAATTCACACCAATTGAGTGAAGGCAATTGCGTAGCTTCACTCAGGACATATCTTGAACAGAGGGACTCTAGGTCAGCCCACAGCAAAACCTTAAAATAAATCCAAGCCTGGGCCAAATGGTCAACTTTTTTTTTCAGGATCCGGGCTGACAAGCCACTGTCATTACTATAATTACTGACCTAGATCGGTGCCCTAATGTCTGCATGTGGAATGAACCCAGGACGTGGGTGAGTGCGTCATCCTCTGAGTTGTGGCTACTCTTCTACAAAAGAATGGACAGATAGTTTTGTTGCTGTACCATCCAAGCATTTCAATTCCATGTTTGGTTTGAAACTGGTGTTATTTGGGTTCCATCAAAGAGTGTGCTTAAGCCATTTTTTTTTTTTTGAAAATATATTCCTTTTATCAGATCCAGTTTAGTAAAGAACCACTTGAGTCAGAAATTCCTAGCATTGACTTTGCTGAGTCAACCATGCCCATGGTTGGGTGGGTCATTTCAATCAGCCTTGGTGTATTTGGGAAGGATGATTGAAATCATCCAGAATTTTCACTCTTGACCATTTCTAACGAGAAAGGACATGTGTACATACATTAGAAGAGAATTTAGGATTAACTAGACGAATAAAACTTCTTCATCCTTGAAGAGTCGTTATTTCTAAAACAGTTAGTGCCAAAATTATGTCCAGAAAGGGAAACCTTCTTGTAGAGATGGGCAGAAAATTAAAATGGAGTAGGGATATTGTGCAAAGGTATTGTCCTGTATACTCGGGATATTGGAATAAATAGGGAGGATACTGAAATCCTTTGTTCTGATCCTTGCCAATGATTTATCTCTCTCATTCAGGGGGATACTTGGCCCAGAGTCTGGCTATCATGACCGATGCTGCTCACCTTTTGACGGATTTTGCCACCATGCTTGTCAGCTTGTTCTCACTGTGGATTTCTTCTCGGCCTGCAACTAAAACCATGAACTTTGGTTGGCATCGTTCAGGTGAGACCAGGCCAGGTATTTGTATGTAGAAATAATGAGAGGTCACTTATCAATATGAGTGATTGTATGTTTCTTTGTTTATGTTTATTTGAGTAAATCAGCTTGTAATGCAATCCACTGTGTGCTTTGATAACAAGATGTAGAGCTGGATGAACACAGCAGGCCAAGCAGCATCAGAGGAGCAGGAAGGCTGACATTTCGGGCCTAGACCCTTCAGAAATGGGGGAGGGGAAGGGGGTTCTGAAATAAATAGGGAGAGGGGGAGGTGGATAGAAGATGGATAGAGGAGAAGATAGGTGAAGAGGAGACAGACAGGTCAAAGAGGCGGATTTGGAACCAGTAAAGGTGAGTGTAGGTGGGGAGTTAGGGAGGAGATAGGTCAGTCCAGGGAGGACGGACAGGTCAAGGGGACGGGATGAGGTTAGTAGGTAGGAGAAGGGGGTGGGGCTTGAGGTGGGAGGAGGGGATAGGTGGGAGGAAGGACAGGTTAGGGATGCGGGGACGAGCTGGGCTGGTTTTGGGATGCGGTAGGGGGAGGGGAGATTTTGAAGCTTGTGCAGTCCACATTGATACCCTTGAGCTGCAGGGTTCCCAAGCGGAATATGAGTTGCTGTTCCTGCAACCTTCGGGTGGCATCGTTGTGGCACTGCAGGAGGCCCAGGATGGACATGTCGTGTGAGGAATGGGAGGGCGAGTTGAAATGGTTCGTGACTGGGAGGTGCAGTTGTTTAGTGTGAACCGAGCGTAGGTGTTCTGCAAAGCGGTCCCCAAGCCTCCGCTTGGTTTCCTCGATGTAGAGGAGGCCACAACGGGAACAGCGGATGCAGTATACCACATTGGCAGATGTGCAGGTGAACATCTGCTTGATGTGGAAAGTCTTCTTGGGGCCTGGGATGGGGGTGAGGGGGGAGGTGTAGGGGCAGGTGTAGCACTTCCTGCGGTTGCAGGGAAAAGTGCCGGGTGTGGTGGGGCTGGAGGGGAGTGTGGAGCGGACAAGGGAGTTGCAGAGAGAGTTGTCCCTCCGGAAAGCAGATAAGGGTGGGGAGGGAAAAATGTCTTTGGTGGTGGGGTTGGATTGCAGATGGCGGAAGTGTCGGAGGATGATGTGTTGGATCCGGAGGTTGGTGGGGTGGTACATGAGGATGAGGGGTGTTCTGTTTTGGTTGTTATTGCGGGGAGTGGGTGTGAGGGATGAGTTGCGGGAAATGCGGGAGACATGGTCGAGGGCGTTCTCGATCACTGAGGGCTGTAAGTTGCGGTCCTTGAAAAACGAGTGTTTTTCCTTTTCAAAGATACCCACGATCCCTGTGGGCCAAATTGCAAAATAAATTGAAAAGTAAAATGTTGTGAATCCTGGAAACATGGGAACTCTTGGTCTTAATGGGTAATCTGAGAAGAGAGGAAAAAAAAACAAATCTTTAGGTTGATGGTCATTTGTCAGAACTGGAAGTTGTTAGAAATATAACAATTTTTATATAAGTGCAAAGAAAGGGTAAGGTGACCAAGAAAAGGATAGCAAAGAATGAATAGAAAGTTCAATGATGCGGGAAATAAAATGACAAAAAATGATAATGGTGTAGAGCAAAAGGAGGTTGATCTAGGCATAGGTAAAGAAACAGGAGATTGATATAGAGAAACCATTAATGGTGAATCCTAAATGAGTTGAAATTGAGGTGGTAAGGTTCATTTTGAGTGTTGTGAATTATCTGCTGTTTTAAGTGTCAAATCCCACTTGATTTAAAATATTTTTGTTTTTATTCTTCCTGCTGAAGCTGATTATGAAGACTAGTTTTGCTTCTGGAGGTTTTATGTGCTATTTGCATAGGTGAGGGACAGTATTGTGGGTTTGTTAATGAAAACTGAGCTAGACTCCCAATGTGTGTGTGTCTGAGACCATGTGAGCGATTATCTGTCATTGGCATCTCTTTTCCTGTTCTGTAGCCAGTAGGCTTCGATGTCATATCAGCAGGATTGCATTGCAGAAGTTCCTCATCATGTAACATCTTAAAGGTTTGTTTTTGCAGCATTTCTCCAGGTCCACTCCTTTATCTAAAATGTGTTCCAACTGTAGTCTTGTGGTTTTCCAGTCTTGATATCATTAACCACTTTCAATCAGCTTGATTTTCTAGCTTGGTGCAGACAATGACAGATGTTTATGCAGCAGTAGTCTGGACCTCTCTTTCAACAATATTTAGATTAGATGGGGTGGATGCACGAAGGATTTTTTTCTCGGTTGGGAGTGGGTGTAGGGTGGTGTAAAACTGGGAAGGGGGTTGGGGGAGACAGCACTCAAATAAAGGCCAAGCTGTTTAGGATTGAGATGAGGAACTTCTTTACCCAGAGAATAGTGAATCTTTGGAATGCTGTATTTCCAGAGGACAGCAGAAACTCAGTCATTGAGTTTGTTCAAGAGAAGCAATAAATTTCAAATAGTAATGACATCAAGGGGTATGTGGAAGCAATGATGTAATGGTATTCTCACTAGACTGTTAATCTAGAAATCCAGGTAATGTTCTGGCTTCAAATCGCACCATGGCAGATGATGCGATCTGAATTCAATAAAAACACGTCTGTAATTAAGATTTTAAGGTTGACCATGAAACCGTTGATTGTTGGGAAAAGACACATCTGATTCACATCCTTCCTTTAGGGCAGAAAATGGCCATCCTCACCTGGTCTGGCCTACATTTGGCTCCAGACCCACACCAATTACTTAAAACTGCCCTCTGGCCAATCAGGGGTGGGCAATTTATGTTGGCCTAGCCAATGGAAACAAGATTGGGTAGTAGATGTTATGCAGTGGTAATGTTACTGGACTAGTAAACCAGATGTGCAAACCAGTGCTCTGGGGATGTAGGTTCAAAATTAAACTTAAGTGCCCACATCCTGTGAATAAGTGAGAAGTTGCATTGAGGTAGATGATCAGCCATTGTGTGGAATAGCACAGCAGGTTCCAGGTGCTGAATGGCTTGCTTTTGCTCGTGTTTCTATGAATACCATGAAACCACAGTAATTCCGTAGTCCCATACAGAGGTTACTGTGGAAACCTGACCCTTAGCTTCTCAAGGCATGCTGGCATGTTAAGTTCGGTCTGGTTACCAGAAGGATTTTGTTAAATCTGGGATTTTTGTACTTCCGTACATTACGTTTAGTTGAGATGCAATAGCTATCTACTAGTATTGTAAATTTGAGATTTGCCTGTGCGATGTTCTGCCAAATTATTTTATACAAATGAATTTTCCTCATCTCCTGGTGTCCTGAAGAGATTCTAGGAGCTCTGGTCTCTGTGCTGTCCATCTGGGTGGTGACCGGTGTGCTTGTCTATCTGGCGGTTGAGCGACTCATTTCTGGGCAGTACGAGATTAAAGGTGGCGCCATGGTGATCACCTCAGGAGGTGCTGTCGCAGTCAATATTGTGTGAGTATCCTCTTGTCTAAGTAGTATTTTGTTACTTTTTAAATGAACTTTCTCCGCTTCTTTCAGGAGAGATCGGACTCTTGCCAGGATGTCGTTTCTCTAAACACTAGCCACCATTCAGTAACTTTTTTAATTGTCCACTCTTTTTATCATTGCCTAAATGCAATTCTTTTCTGCCTGTTACTTCAGGCGTCACTGATTACCGTAACAATGAAGACAAGATTGGGTAGTAGATGTTAATGCAGTGGTAATGTTACTGGACTAGTAAACCAGATGTGCAAACCGGTGGTCTGGGGGTGTGGGTTCAAAATTAAATTTAAATTGATTAAATGTGTTCAATCTAACAATGCAGGAATATAAATCCTGTCTTGGTAATGGTGACCATAAGAACTATCACTGGGGAGAGGAAGTCTTCCATTTGTACCTGGTTTGATCCACATATGAATGCAGACTCACAACAATGTAGTCTGTTCTTACCTATCCCCTGAAATGGCCTCAAAAGCCACTGCATTTGAAGTCAGTGAGAAATGGGCAATGAATGCTGGGCCTGCCATATTTCATGGGAGAATTTCAAAGTGAATTTGTGCTTTTTACTAGGAGTTACTGGGTAGAGATTAGGAGCAAAAATCCAACAGATAATTTTCCCATCCTGCTGAGTCCAGGGATATTAAAAACAATTTTTTCCCCTCCATTGTCACTGAAGTTGAGATCAGCTGAAGGCAGAGTCCAATACTCGTGATTATCCTATTAGCTATAATAGTATAAATGAATAGCCTTGAGAACATGAGAATCGTTGGTCCAGAAAGACTCCAATTCCATTGAGCTTTCCTTCTACAATTTCAGGAATTGTGTAATACAATGATAGATTTGTTGATGAATCGTAACAATTAATGCCTATCAGTGAGTCTACAGCAGACCCAAAGAGATGAGCTATATTGTTCTTTAACATCCTACCTCATCAGCCAATCACAGTTGAATTGCTGAATGGAATGGTTGGATAATAGTAGGGAACCAGGTGATTTTGAGTTGAATTTTGCCTTCTCCCACCTTCTGTTGTGCCACTAGTTTCTGATCCCCTTTGCACTGTTCTACAGGAAGCTGTCAACGTGCTGCTTGGTATCTGCCCAAGTCAAAGTGAGCTTCAACAGATCTGTGGACTTGACTTCTCCATTACAGGAAACCCTTGGCTTGGGGATGAGGACTAGGGGGGGGAGGGGGTGGTGCAGGGTGTATATGTAAAACTTGAGGCTTGATTAGCAGCAGATTCCACACTCAACCTCTCTTGTGAAGAAGGACAGGGGAAGCAGACATGTGGGAACACCACCATCAGCAAGTTCCCCTCCAAGCTACATACCACCGTGACTTCGAACTAATTTGCTGTTCTTTCACTGGCTGGTCAAAATTCACGAGCTCCCTTCTTAACAGTGCTGTAGGTGTACCTTCATTTGATAAACTGTAGCATTTCAAGAAGATGGCTCACCACCATCATCTTAAGGGCAATTAGGAAGGGGTATAAATGATGGCCTTGTCAGCAATGCTGTCATTTTATGGATAAATATTTTTAAAAAGCCAGACATTTATTCTAGAGTAAACATCACAAGGGATCACTTGGTACCAATCAGGATTGGAAACTTTCCCTGATCCTTTATAAAATGTCCTCCCATCTTATTCCAGTTGCATTGAAACCAATTATAGTAAATTTATTCTTCCAGCTAAGAGATGAACACACCTTTGGTCATTCCCTGTCTGTGAAGCTCATGACAGTATTTGCCAGTGTAGAACAAAGACTTGGCCATCATTCTTTTCACCTCCAATTTTGTCCATACACTGAAACTTAAGTCTTTGCTATACACCCAATTCTAAATTCTCTTTTTACCTGTTCCTATTCACTAACTCTCCACAGAATGGGCATCATTCTTCATCAGTCTGGTCATAATCACAGCCACGGCAGCACAGGAGAAGTCAGATCACAGGATATCGAGTCCAATGCCAATAGCCATGTGAACCCCAGTGTACGAGCTGCCTTCATCCATGTTGTGGGAGACCTGTTGCAAAGCATCGGTGTCCTGATAGCTGCCTATATTATCTACTTTAAGGTACAGGAACAGTCTTTCAGTGACATGGCTTTTAAAGGGAGTACATCTAATTTTACAAATGGATGTTTTGGGGAGTGCATATTCTAGAATGTGTTTCTTGGATCTTCATCTAAGCACAGGCATTACTTCTAAGCTACTTTTGAACAGCATCTGTTAACGGGCTGTACATGATGGTAAGGGTACAGAGCAATATATCCTGCACTTCATAGGCTCCAACCTGCCAGTTGAGTATGAGTGCATGATTAGTGAGTTTACAGTTACATTACAGCTTACTTCTGAGGCTCATCAACGAGGTCATTAAATCCTATTTCTACAGGTTGCCAAATAGTGATGCATTTCTTGAGGGTTTGTAATATGCTGTCCTGTCCCATCCCTGATTTTCCACCTACTCAAAAAGCTTTTTTAACCCATCTCCAGTAACTTTAGAAGTAATAAATGAAAATGTTTAATAAAAACACACGTGGGAGTGATAAACAATTTTTACAGTCCTGTGTTTTTTTTTTCCTCCAGGCAGTTGTTAGCAATATTGAGATGACTAGCCTTAAATTCCTGGAGACCTCATTGGAGGATTGTTAGGGGCAGGAGAGAGAGTCTTAGTAAAGTGTCCCAAGGTACTTCAGGAATGACTTTCAGCAAAATTTGGCACTGAGTTGTAGTTGAAGAGATGGTCAAAGACATGGTATTTAAAGGAACAGAGGAAAGATGAGAGATTTAGGGAGAGAATTCCAGGTCTTGGTGTTTAGATAGCGAAATATGCAACTGCCAATTGTACAATGAAGGAATTTGAGGATGTGTTGTACATTATTCTTTATTGCACTTTGCTGCAATTTGCTCTTTAAATATTGAGGTTTAGTTCATGCTTAAGCACTCTGCTAGGATTGATAATATTCCTGTTTGGCACAGGAGCTAAGGAATCAGAGATCCCTGAACAGATCACAACTGATTTTTTTTTGTTAAACTTCATATCTCTGAATGTGAAGTATTATTTAAATATTTGGTCACACCATTGGAATAAGTTTTTTTTTGTTTCATTTGTATTTAGCCTGAATATAAGATAGTGGATCCAATCTGCACCTTCCTGTTTTCCATTCTTGTTCTGGGGACAACCATCTCCATCCTAAGGGACGTTCTCTGCATACTAATGGAAGGCAAGTAATTAGCTGGGGGAGAGCTGATTTTAATGTAAAAAAAATGGACCTGAGGCATGTAGAATGAAATGTTGATAAGATAAACTTGCAGGAAAACATTGTTCTATCTTTAAAGAAGAAAGGGTTTGGGTACAATTCAATGTATGTTCTCCTTGAAAGACAGGGCAAACAAATCTAGAGCTCTCTGGATGAAAAAAGAATGCTTATGACAAGTGTCCAGTTGACAATGTAGTTGAGAATCAAGAAAATTACAGGTGTTCAAAGGGGAGATGAAAAAGCATATTAGATAAGTGAAGAGCGATTTTGAGAAAACAGTTTGAGTCTGATAGAGAGGACTTAAGAAAACATTCAGCATCCTCAGCTTTAGAAATGGATCATGGAGTACAAAAGCAAAGAGGTTATGTTAAATTTTTGCAAGACAGTCGTTAGGCTTGGTGTATTGTATATGTTTTGGGCACTGTACTAAAGGAAGGATATCAGTGCATTGCAGAAGAGATATACATAAATGATTCCAGGGATGAGAAACTTCAGTTATGGGGGAAGCTTGGTGAATTTGGGCCTGGAGAGAAGGCGGCTAAGAGATTGGATAGAAGATTTCAAAATCATGAAGGAATCTGTATAGTCAATGTAAGGGCAAACTCTTCCTATGTGTAAGAGGATTGAGACCGAGGTGACACAGATTTAAAGTGATTTGGAAAATGTAGAAATTGTAATGTGAAAAAAATCTTTCACACGGTATGTGTTTTATGTCTGGAATTCACAGCCTGGAAGTGTGGTGAAGGCGGAGTCAATTGAGACATTCAACAGGACATTAGATGCTTATATAATTAGAAACAACATCAATGGTATGGGGAAAAGACTGGTGAATGGAACTAAGTCATAATGATCATTGGATAGTGGTCAGACATGATGGGCTGAATGGTCTCCTTCCGAATCGTAACAATTTAGTGAAGTTCAGGAATTTAACATGATGATCTGCTGAGAAAAGTTAAATGAAGATGCAGAATGCCATATAGTGAAGAAAGCATGGGAACATCTGAAGCAAATCAAGAATGGTCTTGCTTGGCTTTTTGAAGCTTATGACTTTGGAAAGGTGTGAGGAGTAAGCGGGTTGACAAGTTGGTGGTGGTGAAGGGAAGAATCCGTTTCTGTAGGAAATTACATTGTCAGTCTTTGAGTTCAATGGAAAGAGGTAGAATAACTATGAAGGAATATTTATAGCAGTGAGGAGACCATACAAATGATTTCTAAGATGTGTGTTTATGCAGCAATTGGAAATATGCTGTGCACAGAACAAATAATTTATATCGAGCAAAGTTCTCTTTAAGCTGTGCTGTCACCTGAAATCTGAACAGCACAATAAATCGAGCCTGTTGAGTGTAGCAAAAAGTAGTTAAGATGGTTGCATTGATTTTGAAGAGTTATGAGAAGGGTGTTGACAGTGGTGGTGGGATGGGGGGATGCAGGGGTAGAAGGAGAAAGAAGTGAGAGGGATGCTGAGGACTAAAGATCCCCAGTGGGGATGACATGTATCTTCCTTTGCATTCTGCTGATGTGCGGGAGACCGGGTTTGAGTCTTGGTAGAATTTGAGACATGGAGTGAGTTAAAGTCAGTTAAGAAGTAGTCTTGGCATAAAAAAAACTAAGACAAGAAAGCAAGAGATTTGGAGATATTCATTTGTTGTTATGGGAAACAATAAGGCTGAAAATAAGGGTACAATATGTTCATTGACAAACACAGTTCCTACTGAAGCTCAGCACTGCATTTTGACAGGAACTCCAAAAGGAATGGATTTTAATCAGGTTAAACAATCACTCCTATTAATTGACGGGGTGAAAGCAATGCATAGCCTCCACATCTGGGCGCTGACCATCAACCAATCGCTGTTGTCTGTCCACATTGCCATCGGTAAGTGTTAATGTATTTTGCTTTTGACATGGATTGCTGTAAGTATTTTAAAGCTGCATAGCCCATGGCTCACTTTCCTCCCGAGTGGGATGGTTGTGAGTTTAATTCTTTTTACACCTAATTCAAGCGAAAAATGTCAGCACAGTAATGAATGTATGCTGCACTGTCAGAGCTGTCATCTTTTGTTTGGGATGTTAAATGAGGTCTCATCCGAGCTCTTGCACGGATGTAAAAGATTTCCTGGCACTATGGGAAGAGGAGGGGAGTTGTCTTTAGTGCTCTGTCCAATGTTTATCCCATTGACAATCTCTCAAAAACAGATAATTCTAATTATCACCAAAGTTTAGGACCTTGCTACGTGCAAATTGGTTGACACATTTATTAGAATGTTTCTGCACACAACCGTGTTTCACAATCAAATCTAATTCCTATAAAACAATGCAGGTCCATGATACTGTCTCCCTTCAAAAATCTACCAAGACGTTTTTTTTTGTCTCAATGTATTAAAGGTATTATCTTACAAAATATTAATCAAGAAATCTAAATTCAGGAAATAGCCTAAGACTCATAACACCATAAGGCATAGGAGCAAAATTAGGCCATTTGGTCCATCAAGTCTACTGTGCCATTCAATCATGGCTATGTTTCTCAACCTCAGTCTCCTACCTTCTCCCTGTAACCTTTGATCTCCTTACTAGTCAATACTAATCTCATTCCATTTATAAAATGACAGGCCCACAATTTAAAACAGAAATGACAATATTTTTACAGACTAAGACTACAGCATCATAGTAGTGAATTCACTTGAGATGAAGATCATGATTCCATTAGCCTTTTCAATTTCTTCTCTTCATGTTTGCTAGTTTTTGTGATTTGTGAACTTTAATGGCTGTGTTTCTTGCAGATGAGGCTGCAAATGCTCAGGAAATATTGGCTGAAGCTAACCACGTACTCCAAAGCAAGTTTGACTTCCATTCCATCACGATCCAAATAGAAAATTACTCTGATGATATGGTCAATTGTAGGGAATGCCAGGAGCCCAGAGATTAGTTCCCACCAGTGCATAGAGTTCCTCTCATCTGTATGTCTGAGAGAGGCATCATGAGTTCATTTCTTGGAGAATCTCGACTGGAATGAGTTGTGTACAAAGGGAAAGATGGTGTGTGAAGTTATCTGACTGCTGACTCAACCAGACCCCAGCCACTGTAGTGGCAGTGAGTTACAGTGTCCTTTAGTACAATGCAAGATTAAGGCTTTTAAGTCATTTTAGTGTACATGTTGAGCACAGTGATAATTAAGGTCCAAAATTAAACATGACCATAAATGTGTCAATTGGATATTCATCTCACGCCAGCAAAATCATTCTCTGGATGTGTCGATGTCCTCTAGGAGAATGGTTGGGAGAGAGAACTTTGTCTTTGAATTGAGACAATCGATTTTCATGAATATAATGTTTTTTTTTAGATAGAACTGTTTTTTTTTCCTGGTGCTGGGAAACCAATGTTGACAATTTTGTTAAAATAAGTTTATCATTCATTGTTTCTGGAATTGTCTATATCCGAGTTCTTCATATTTATGCAACACTACTTTAATAAACGTTTTGCTAAACAAAAATAAACATTTATTGAAATTTTGTAATTCAAAATTGTGTCAGATTGAGTCTTTTGCCAATATCTCTAAATTGAACTGGACACAGCTTGAAGAAATAATGTTTTACATTAAGTTATGAATGGAGGTGCACTGCCTGAAAAGTGTGATGGAAGCACTTTTTTTAAAAAAATGGGGGGAACATTTGACAGAGTGGTCTGCAAAGAGCATCAGAGTGGGCCTAATTGGACAGTTCTTTCAAAGACCCAGCACAGGCATGATGGGCTGAATGGTCTCTTTCTACATCACTCTATGAAGCTAATTGGTGTCAATTAGCACCTGACAATCAGGACAGAGAGCATGAATATTGCTTTCGGAGTTGAGGATGTACGTTGATTTAACGCTATGCCTCCTTTTTAGTTCACAATATAGCCTGCATGTGAGATAATACACCAGAAAAGAACCTGTGTTTATGTTGGGAGTGATTTAATCAATAAAACTAAGCTCATTTGGTTATTGTGATAGTTGACCAAAAGCTTAGAGAAACAGGTTTTGAAGAGCAAAGAGAGATAGGTGTGTGATCGTGAGAGAATTCCAGCTAAAGATATAATTGCGAAAGTACATAGAAGCAGAATTTGAGGTGGACAGAGATCTCAGAGCAATGCGGTTTTATAGAAGAGTTTAGAGATAGGGAAGTGGTGAGGCAATGGAAGGACTTTAAACATAAGGATAAGAATTTTAAAGTCAAGGCATTGCAGGTCCATGAACACTGGAATGATGGTGAACAGGACTTGGTATAAGCTAGAATATGAGTAGCAGTTTTAGATGAGCTCAAGTTTACAGAAGATGCAGAGATGGAGGCTGACTGTCAGTGTACTGAAACAACAGATTTTGCAGGTAGCAAAGTCAAGCATGAAGTTTTCAACAGCTGGGCCAAGGCAGTGATGGAGTCTTGACAACGTTACTGGAAGTTTGAGGGATCTTTAAAGAACAAAATGGCTGTAACTTGTGTAAAGTTCCTTGAGACATTTTGATTATGGCGAAAAGCTAAATCCATACAGGTCTTATTAAAATGCCATGGTAAATCTTTTGTAATGAAAGGAGAAACCACCTCTTTCACATTATGAAACGATGTGATGGTAACTGCAATTGCTTTCTCTGCGCGCGGGCGGTTTGACTGGCAGCAGGAATGTTCCTGTTGGAACAACCCCACCGAATTATCAAGTGGAAATGCAATGGTTCCAGTAACCCTGAATTTTGGGCGGGATCTCAGAAAATATCTTCTGTGCTGTTCAACTGCACAGAGGGGCTGCCTGTACGGCCTGCTCCTGAACCCAGTACAGTCTCTTACTTTATCTTCCACTTAGATTGTGTCTGGGGTGGGGGAAGAGTCTTGTCCCTGCACCCATGCGAATCTACTGAAGAAGGGTCTAGGTCCGAAACGTCAGCCTTCCTGCCCCTCTCATGCTGCTTGGCCTGCTGTGTTGATCCAGTTCCACAGCTTGTTATCTCGAACTAGGGTGGAGAGTGTTGCACGGATCAATGTTATCTGACAGTTCTTTTTTAAGTCACTTCACGGACTCCGGCCTACTAAAATAAAAGACCTGCGGGTGTTGAACTTGTTAGAGAAGCTCAGCAGATCTCCACAGATGCTGCTGAATTTCTCCAGCAATGTCTGTCTTTGATTGTAACCTAAGCGGTGTGCATGGGTCCGGTTTTCATATCAGTGTGGAGGCTGGAGAGGTTGTGGTCCTTGTATTCTTCAGGGGAGCTATCTCTCAATTTGACCCCACTTCTGCCCCACATTCCTGACCTTTGGTCAGCGACGAGTGCAGGGTGTGAGCGCGCAAGTCAGCGGTTCTGCTCCCTGGCCTGACCAAGAGGCCCATTCAAAGTAGAAAGCAAATTACTGCAGGTGCTGATATATGAGCTGAAACAAAAAAAATGCTGGAGATCACAGCGGGTCAGGCAGCATCCATGGAGAGAAAGCAAGCTAACGTTTCGACTCTAGCTTCTTCATCAGACACCTCTAGACTTCAGAGATAACAAGGTGTAGATCTCAGACTCTCCAGCATCTGCAGTCCCTACTACCTCTAGACTTCATTTCGACTGGAAACGTTGGCTTGCTTTGTCTCCGTGGATGCCGCATTTTTTTTTGTTTTCAGGCCCATTCAAAGATTGGATGTAGACTTTCGGTGGGCGAATGGACAGTCTGCTCGCCTGTCTTTTCACAGTCCTCTCTACCTGTGGAGGAAATCCGTGCGGAATCTGGTAGTACGCTTTTAGCACGATCGGGAGGCACCGGCGTGTCTATTAGCGGCAGTATTATTTGTCATTTACTTGTTTCCTTTATTCACCGTGTACGATTTGATAAGCTCCGTCTCTCTATAAAGGAGACGTTGCATGTTTGATGTAACAATGTCCCCTTTTCGTTGTATTGGAAGGGCCGCACAAAAATTCTTTCAAACCCATTCGCCAAGTCCCGCAATCGAAGAACTCACTCAATCACGGAGCGATGCTTAGCAGTGCGGAAGTGAAGTCATCACCTTCGATCACTGATTTATTCACGAACAACAAGACTGCTTCCTGCTACAACATTGAAAGTTTCTATTTTACATACGAAAGAGTGTAGAGCAAACTAGGAGTGGGAAACCTGGCGGTTTTGGAGTTAAAGCTTAGAGAGCTTAGCAAGGTATTTGCTTCGGGTTTCGGGGAGGAGGCGCGGTTCTTTCCTCATTTGTGTGTGGGTCTCATAGGAACATAAACACGCTAACTTTTTATGGACAAAAGATTCGGTGATGTTCTGTTTCTAGTCAATGCCGCGCAGTCTATCGTTTCTTGGGTTTAATTTTGTTTCTGAATTAAAGTAAGTGAAAAGTATTTAGAGTTTTTTTTTTGCAGCAGTGGGGGTGGGGGGGATGGCTGTGGAATGTCTGATATGCTGTGATACATTGTAGCAGCTTGTTTAGAACATTGCAACATTGTCTCGGAATGTTGATTTCACCAGCGTTCGAAATGTTTGATACAGTATCTCCGAGTTCCCCCTGAAACTGACAAGTATGCTGTCCCTGCCCCCTCCCCGTATGAGACAGACTTGGCCTTTCCCTCCCTGTTTTCTCTACTTTGCGACCGGCGCACGGTCTCCCCCCTGTTACATAAGACAGCGCCGTTTCCTATTCGTAATATCTTCAGAAAATTCCGTCCTCTTTCTTCTACATAGTTATACATGTCTTTTTTTTCTATACATTAATTCAATTAAAATACTTTTAAGAGTGGGGGTTGGTTTCTCTCGCTTTCACGTCCGTGTGTTTCATTTTAAAGCGAATCGTCTCTTTCCCTGGGGGAAGTAGTTTGCAACACCTGGCTTTATCGTGGGGGTCACTTCCTCTCAATCTGTTTCTGGGCGTTTGGAATTTGAAAAGGACGCCTACATTGGAAGAGTGTAAAATAGCTTTGTCAGCATACTTCTCTCTCAGCACGTGGGTAAATAATGTTATTTTGATAATCGGTTTATCCCAGCAAGAACACTTTCGTTGATTTGACCGACACCAGGAAAAGCAGGTCAACACATCCAATTATTTTACCGACGCTTTTGAATACTAAATATTTTCTCCTGTCTTTAAAAAGATATGTAAGGTTCATTTTCATTCCAACCCCTTCTTTCTTTAAAAGTGATCTGCGAAGTGGACTAGTAAATCCAGGATTCAGGCTAATGTCTGGAATAAATAAAGACTCTCCTGATGGAGACATTTGTTTAAAAACCCATTTGGCTAACGCAGGGAAATCTGTCATTCTTACAAGGTCTGGCCTGCATGTGATTCCACAGCTAGTAATCGCTCTCTGAAATGGACCTAGCAAGCCAGTTAGTTCCTAGCAATTAAGGATGGTCAAGAAATGCTGGTCTAGCCAGTGATAGCCACATCCCACGAACAATTTCCTTTCTCTAAAGGACAGGTTCCATGAACCAGAATTTTGTTAGCTTCAGTTTAAAAACTCAAGAAAAATGCAACGAAGAAGCATCACTTTAATATTCAATCCAGCCAGGCTGAGGCAGGCAACATCAGGGTATGCCTCTACAAACAAACCAGTGAAATTTGTGCATGTTTTGAGTGCCACTTGAATGTTTGGAAGACTGAGGAGGACAGGTTTTTTTGGTGGCCAGTGACACCACACTGTAGTTAATACAGGGAGGACTGCTACACAGTACAAAAAAGATATTATTAGCTTGCAGAATGGGTCTGTGAATGATAACACAGCTCTGACGTACAATCCTGGCGGAAGGGTAAGGAGGTCAAAAGCTCCTTGGAAAATGTCTAACTACCATCTGATCAGCACCTTTTACCCATGCACTATTTACATTGTACCCTTCTAGGGTTTGTATTGTTGCGAATTTGTCCTAATGAGTGAGAGACAGAGATAAAGGAATGAAGGAAATTTAGGCGTACAGATCAAGAGAAATAGCAACACAATTTAGCCGAACAGTTAAGAAAAATGAGCAATAAATGCTGGCCTTGGCAGTGACATTCATATCCCAAGAATGATTGTTTAAAAAAATTAAAATAATAACAATAAGTATATTTTAGTAAAGGTTGGGGGAGGGGGTTGCCTTTGGGATTCTGTGTAATGAAAAAAACAAGCACGTGACAATAATCTGTAGCCCATTTTATCAGCTTTACCATATGTAATACCATGACCTGAAGTTTAAAAACTGTATCTTTGGCGAAACAAAACATCCAAAAGAACACCAGGCAATTAATCAGAGAAACAGAGCCAAAGTTGGACATAGAAGGATCGATGAAAAGCTGGGTCAAAGGGACTTTGAGAGATTTTACAGAGAATGAAGAGGCTAAGGGAGGAAGTTCCAAAGCTTGTGCTCCAAGTGACTGAACACGCAGCTGCTAAAGGTGACAGGAAGTTTGGGGGGGGGGAGCAGTGGTCGGGCGGTGGATGCTAAAGTTACAGGAGTGTAGAGATCTGAGGTGTGCAGGACTGGTCATCAGATATTAAGAAGAGTTGAAGCCATGGAGGAATCTAAGCACAGGATGAACACTTTACTTTAAATCAAGCTATTGTTAGACTGGAAGCGGGTGTAGGTTTGTTAACACAGGTATGATGGGTGAATGGGACTTTGCAGTTTATACCCTATTTTGTGCTGAGTTTTGAATTAGCTAAACATTTTTGGAATTGTGACTGTGAGCACAGTGGCCTGTTTAATTGTGGAGAGAGCCAGGTTCATGTAGCTATTGCTCCATAGCATCTATGGATTTGAATCCTTGTTCAATGAGAGAGTTCATTTATTGCTGTGTGAAGGCTTTTGCTGATTTAAATGTAAAGCTAACTGCGAATCAAAAGAAGGAAGACTTGTGTCAAATAGCAAGTTCTATGATCTGTTGTGGCCCAAGTGCTTTACGTTAATTAAATGCTTTTGAAGTTTGTTCACTGTGTAATGGAGGAAACAGCAACCATTGTGTTCATACCAGATAGCGATAATATCCAGATAATTTGCTATTTACAGTATTGGTGTTAGCAGAAGAACAAATATCAGCTGCAGCACTAAGGAGACCTTCCCACTTGTCTTCAAAATAGTGCCATGGGATCTTCTACATCTGGTTAAGGAGGCTGAGAGGTTAAATGTCTCATACAAAAATCAGCACCTCTGCCAGTGCAGCATTCCATTGGTACTGCAGTGGAATGCCAGCCTAGATTTCTCTGCACCAATTCTTGGAGTGAGTTTTGAAGTTTCTGATTTCAAGGTGACAGTACAACAAACTGAGCAATGGCTTTCTGTAAAATAGATACTTTTATTTACTGGAGATTATTCTTATACTGTTTATTTTCTCTGTCTATATTAATTTCTATTTTTCATTTATGATCAAAATCTATCTAGCTGGAAGGTTGGGTAACACAGACTGCTGTGACAAGGTATTACATAGAACTCCTATTCCTATCATTCAGCAGATCATGGCTAATCTGTTCCTGAAATGATTAACCATTCTTTGTTTGTTATTTCCCAATGCCCTTACCCAATAAATATTTATGGATTTTGTGCAAGTTCTGATGATTCCCAGAATTCACAGACTTGAGGAATCAGAGTTCCACAATTTTCTCTACCTGTGGGGGGGGAGGGGAGGGGAGGGGAGAAATGTGTTGATTTCACTGTGTCCTCCTGATCTCTGTGCTTCTCCAGTTATGACGTTTTACCTTTGGCAGCTGTGCCTCAGGTGCTTGGTCTCAAGCCCTAGAATTCCTTGACCCTTTCTGACTCTACCTTTTTGCTTTTGGAATGCTCCATATGTTCCACCACTTTACTGAGGTTTTGGTAACCTGACCAAAATTTTCCTCCTGTGGCTTGGTGTCAATTTTTTGTTGGATCACATTCTTTTGAATTGCTTTGGGAAATTTTACGACATTAGGTGTTTTATATAAATGGAAGTTGCTTTCGAAAGCCTAGCCCAAATTTTAAAATCAAGCTCCTTTTTTTTCTGGGCTTCCCCTACCAACTAGAACTGCTCTCGTGTATCAAGTCTTTGAATCATTTAAAACAACCTGATCTGATCAGCCCTCCACTTTCTAAACCCCAAACCGTTCAGGTAATCACTTACATACTTATCTGACCTTGTCTGTTTCTTCTGCAGGGTTGCCTTAGTAGGTCATGACAGCGCTACCCGGTGCTGGGCCAAGGATTCCTGGCCTACACTCTCAGACCGCAGCGCCAATCCCCCCACAGCAGCCACAAAGTGCCTTGCGTGAGATCACATGTGTCACCCTCTGCAAAGTTGGCCAGGAGACTGTTCAGGACATTGTGGCACGTACAATGGACATCTTCCACATGCTCCGGGCAACACAGGTGACTGGTTTCTCCCTTCCTCTTTAATTGCTCATTGTCGGATTGAGGAATAGGATGCCTTTGATTTAAGGTACAAAACAACTGCACTGAGGACTTCCGGGTAAATTGCAGCATAGGTTAGGCAGAGACAGCATGAAATGGGTTCTGACTGTTGTCACAGGAGGCTTGTCTGCTCATTTCAGGAGGAAAAGACGTGCATTCACATAATGCTTTTCACAACCTCCAAATCATCTACAAGATCATACAATCCCTACAGTGCAGAAAGATACCATTCGGCCCATTGAATCTGCACCAACCCCTTGAAGAGCATCACATCCAGACCCAACCCTTGACTCTATCCCCACAACTCTGCATTTACCATGCACATTTTTGGACTGTAAGAGGAAATCAGAGCACACTAGGAAACCCACACGGATGTGGGGAGAAAATGCAATCTTCACACAGACAGTGACCCAAAGCTGGAATCAGTCCCTGGTACTGTGAGGCTGTAGTGCTAACCATTGAACCACCGTGCTACCCACTGCAGTGCAGCAGCTCACCAAGGCTTCTTCAACAGCACTTTCGAAAACCTTGACCTCCATTAACTAGGACAAGGACACCACCGCTTGCAGGTTGCTTTTCAAGATGTACATGATCCTGACTTGGAATACGTTGCTATTCCTTCACTGTCAGCGATGTTATTAAACACCGCTTGAGCAGGTGGGACTTGAACCTGTTACTCCCAGTCTGGGATAGGGACACAGCCACTGTACCACAAGAGGGCCTTAGGCTTTATAACTGTACAAAATTTAGCTTTGTTAACATTTCCTATTGAAAGCCACAAGCACCCAGTTCTGTGTGTCTGTCTGCAAGTTATAAAAAACAGGAAATATATAGCCAGTCTGTTTGCACCTGACATGAAATAAGTTCTCATAATGGCGCAGTGACTGAGCCATATAAACCACAAGTATCCAAGTATTGTAAACCGTGACAAGCTGTTTTCCCCATTGTTCATAACAGTAGAACCAGAGGTCATCGCCTGTGCTTGAAGCAGTTGAATTTTAAACCCATTTTAAAAACACAGTTGAGTCTTGTGGACAATTTGTAAAATAGATTCACGAGGAATTGGCGGAAGCAGTTAATATTGGTTCGTTTAGATTTCTTTCTGAAAGTAACATTTGAGTACGTAAGCAAGTTCAGACATATTAAATGTAGTGTACTTGGAAGACGATGAGACTTTGGGTCTATAGTTCCCAAACCAGCTTCACTAGGGTTCCCCTCTTTACGTCTGGGTCTATTTAAATCTGAGAATAAGAATGAAAAATTAAAGATGCTAAAGTTTCCTGAGCCATTGCAGTTCAAAAAGGAAGATGTGGGTCAGCAGAACTTTGGATGGGCTGACATTTATAAAGTGTGAAAATTTCAGCAGCAGATGAACTAAGGTAGCTGTTGGAGCTGAGTGATATTACAAAGGTGGAAGCTGACAGTCCTTGTGATGGAAAAGTTGTAGTGAGGTTTCTTTCATTTTTTTTAACAAGATGATTGTTGAGCAAGGCCAACACTCATCACCAAACCCTAATTATCCTTTCAAGAATTCACTCTCCCTCATGGTCTTTGCTGATGTGTTTCCAGTACTTTGGCAAGCTGCTGTTATCTAGCTTTGCAAATAATCTGTGTGACCCAAGAAAATACCAAAATGATCAAGCATGCTAAATAATAAAAACAAACTGCTGTTAAAAACTCCACAGGTCCTTGCAGCATCTGTGGAGATAGAAACCGGGTTAATGTTTTCAGGAAAATATGAATAATCTTCAGAACTATTTGACAGCGGTGCTTCTGTTTGTTGCCAATGCTTTCTCATTTTCATTACCAGGATAGGAGCATATAGCAAACATTTTGTCCCAGATAGCAAACATTTCGGTTCTTGATCATTTCAGAGGATAGTTAAAGGTCAAATACATTGTAGGACTGGATACTGAATACTGCATACTGAATTGGATAAGGATGTCTTAACATGTGAACTAGTTAGGTTTGTCCAATAACCTGACAGCTTCAGGATTGCCTCCACTGATGCCAGCTTATTATTTATAGATTTTAAAACGGACTTAAAATTATGATGTACTTTTAACTTGAATTCCCTGCATTGCTGATGTATAATGTAGTACATCCATTACATGATCGGATTGCTAATTCTGGACATATTCCTGGAGGTTTAATCACATGATTTCCTGCCTTCAGCTATCCTGCCCTGTCAAATAGCCAATATTCCATTTTTATAAAGTCAAAACAAAAGTATTCAAAGAAAGTGAGAGATTTTTGAGTACTGCTATGATTTTTCTCCTTGGCTTCTCACTCCATTGCCTAGGATGTTAATCTTTAATTGCTGCTGACTCCAGGACAATCTTGGAGAGTTGCCAACCCTAATACACCATTGTACCAGTCTTGGTGTAGGGTGAGGCCACAAACCTGTCAAGTTGATAATCTGGTATGAGAGAAAATCAGGGGCATGACAGAAAAGATAAAATGCAACCTTCATTGAAGGCAAGTATTAAAAAAAGGGGCTGTACTTCCACAGCTAGTCCCCCACCCTGTGCCTGGTCACAGTACCTTAATCAAGGCTTCTGCTCTTCCAGTCAACCATAGCATAAGGTTCCCCTTGTCCTTACCTAATGTCCCATCAGCATCCACATCCAGAAGATCATTAGCTGCCATTTCCACCATCTCCAGCGAGGTGCCACCACTAGACACGTTCCCCTCCCCTCCTTTGTCCGCCTTCCACAGGGACCACTCCCTCTAGGACACCCTGCCCCCAACAGCCCCACTGCACCTTCCCCTGCAACTGCCAAAGGTGTAACACCTGCCAATTTACTTCCTCCCTCTCCAGTATCCAAGGGCACAAACATACCTTCCAGGTGAAGCAGCACTTTACCTGCACAATCTAGTCTACTGTGTTCGCTGCTCACAATGTGGTCTCCTCCATGTTGCAGAAACGAAGGGTAGACTGACCGTCTTGCAGAACACCCACGTTCTGCCTGTTAAAATGAGGCTGCGCTTCCAGTTTCCTGCCACTTTAGCGCACCACCCTGTTCCCTGGCCAACATCTGTGTCTCAGGCTTGCTGCAGTACCCCAGCAAAGCTTAGCTAAGCTGGAAGAACAAACAACACCCCATTTTCTGCTTGGGGACCCCTCAGTGTTGAGTTCAATAACTTTAGGGCTTGAACTCTCCCATGTCCTAGCCCCCATTTCCACACACACCAGGCCTGGTTATCACATAGCCTGTATTGCACACAACCCATTGTAAGCCATTACAGTTTCCATTAACAGGTATTCACCCTCTGAGCCTGACTGTTATCCACTCCTTTGTCGGTCCAACTGTTCTTCTCCCTCTTTGGGCTCTATCCCCACATATTGTTTACTTCTTACCCCCATCTTCTGCATATAAACTGACATTTTCCTAGCTACCATGAGTTCTGAGGAAGGGTCATCGGACCCGAAACGTTAACTCTGATTTCTCTTCACAGATTCTGCCAGACCTGCTGAGCTTTTCCGGCAACTTCTGTTTTTGTTTCTGATTTCTTGTTTCTTGAGCCGCAGTTCTCTCGGTTTTTATATTGCGTCGACTGTTTCCTTTTGACTTGCAGTATGGGATTTTGACATTAGATGGTGCAGTTGCTTCATATGAACAATCTGAGCCACTTTGAGTTAGTGGAAACAGGAACAATGAACTGGCCACATGCTTATTTTTAATGGGATTAAGGCAAAGATTTCTAAAATAATAAATAAAATACCGCGGATTCTGGAGACTTGAAATAAAAACAAAATGCTGGACAAACGCAGCAGATCTGGTAGTTTCCATGGAGAAAGAAAGGGAGTTCCTGTTTTGAGTCAAATGTGACTCTTTGCGGCTTAGTACCTAGGGGAATAGGCAGGTTTCGTGTTTGTGTGCAGCACAGAAAAAGGCCTTTCGGACTATTGTCTGTTCGAGATTTATGAAACCAGTTCGGCCAATCAGCTAGAACTTGTACCCTGCTCCCCCTGCGCTTTTCCCTCCAAGGTATTTAATTGCTGGAGAATCCGAGACAACAAGGTGTAGAGCTGGATGAACACAGCAGGCCAAGCAGCATCAGAGGAGCAGAGAGGCTGACGTTTCGGGCCTAGACCCTTCATCAGAAAAGAGGGAGGGGAAGGGGGTTTTGAAATAAATAGGGAGAGAGTGGGAGGTGGATAGAAGAGGGATAGAGGAGAGGAAACAAACAGGTCGAAGAGGCGGGGATGGAGCCAGTAAAGGTGAGTGTAGGTGGGGAGTTAGGGAGGGGATAGGTCAGTCCAGGGAGGACGGACAGGTCAAGGGGGCGGGATGAGATTGGTCGGTAGGAGATGGAGGTGCGGCTTGAGGTGGGTGGAGGGGATAGGTGGGAGGAAGAACAGGTTAGGCAGGTAGGGACGAGCCGGACTGGTTTTGGGATGCGGTAGGGAGAGGGGAGATTTTGAAACTTGTGAAATCCTTAATTGCTTATAGTTTTTGATTCCACTATTCCATCCAGCAGTTCATTTTGCATGTTGACCTTGAGACTGAGAGGCAATTCTTAATTGAGTTTTACATTTGTCTCCAATGAGTTTGAATTTGTAATTCATTACTCTTAAATCTAAAGCAATGTTTAAGGCATAGAATTTTGATCCTATTTGATCTTCTTTGTCTCTATCAAGTCACTTACCAGCTGCCTTCCTTCAAGGTTGTACGACCAGGTTTTCCCATTACATGGTAATCCTCTTCTGCTATCTCCTTTAGTGCACATCATCTTGTTTGATCCCATTCCTACCTGTCCCAGGACAGCAAGTAATTGCAAGCTTGCACTGACTGGAAGTATTAAGTCTCATTGTATTAGAAAGTACAGCCACTGTAACTGAAATACAAGCACAGAACTTTGGGAAATTAAGTGAGATTAAAGGCACTCACTGTTATTCACTTGTTATTTTGCACACTTATTTAGAGGATGAGATACCCCTTGAGCTGCTAATCACTACAAGTTGCTGAATGAATGTTTTTCCTCCTTCTGCCTTTAGCTTCATGAGAAAAGTATCTTCCCCTCACCACCACCCCAGCGATTCTTGAGAAATGAGCTGCATTTTCACATTAATTAGCCACTAAACACCTCACAAAGTTAGAACTGGTATATAACATTGTAAAGCTCCTCAAAATGACAAAGTTGTTTTCCTGTGATGTCCCTCAAGCTCTCCAATTTGGCATACTAAAACTGCAAACTGTCGTTCCTGCAGCTGGTCAATTGTACTTTAATGTTAAAATTTAAAAACCTCTTATTTTTCCCTCCCTTTATTTCACACACTCTCTCTCTCTCTCTCTCTCTCTCTCATTTGATTCTAATTCAATATATTTCCTTCTGTTATTTCTCTAGATATTTTCTAATCAACCTGTTCAGAGATGTTACTGTACACCTCTGGAGCAGGTGGGACTTGATCCCAGGCCTTCTGACTCAGAGGTAGGAGCACTACCACACTGCCACAAGAGCCTGCTGTTCCTCTCTTTTTTGATCCTTAATTCCACTGTTTAATGAGAGGGATAATTGATTCTATCAATCAAAGTCCTGAATACCGCTTTGCTCTCACTGTGTATTTGTTTTTCAAGCTTGCACCCCCAGCAAATGATGATTGAAAACCTGTTGAATTGAATGGTGCAGGAAAAGATCTGACATTGGGCAGGTGACCACAAACCGCCCCCCACCCTAAGAAAGTGTGAGCCAGCAGGTTTAACTGAAGGAGCCTTGATTTACACGTAGATCTTGTGTTTTTTGATGTAACAACAGATTTTCCGTTTCAGAAGGAAGAATCCCATGCAGTGAATGAATGAATTGCCTCATCTACACCCTTGTACAGACTACAGTCAACAATGTTTTCACAATATAGGCACAGGATTATGCAATTCAACTTCTTGAGCCTGCTCTGTTACGTACCAGGATTGTAACTGTTCTGTGTTGCAACTCCATCTTCCCTCTTTCCTATCATCATCTTCCGTTGCATTAATGAACAAAAACCTATTGATTTTTGGTTATGAAGTTTTGAACTGATCTCAGCCTCAATGGCTTTCAGTTTTCCAGATTTCCACTACCCTGTGAAGAAATGCTTAAAATAGTTTTTTTTTCGCTCTCTCTCTTTCATCTTTCTCTGTATCCTATCAATTCCTTTAATGGCCTTCCTTGGACAATCCCCTACTCTTCTTTATTTGGGAATACAAGCCTCCACATTTAACTCTTAGCATTGGTATCATTGCTGTGAATCTGCCCTGCATCTGCTCCTGGACCTATGCAAATTTGCTGAGGTTTCCTAATATTTCCCAGCGTGCTGTAACGAACTCCCTGAGATCTCCACATCTGCTTTTGAACTTGGGAGATTTACTAATAGGGATGCTGTAAACAGATGGAGATACTCTGCTGTAAATGGACTTGATCACCAATTAAAGGAATCCAAAATCAACCCATCCTCTCTGGGTTAAACTGGGTTAATTGAAAAGTTCTGTGAAATGTCTCTTGCTTGTATACTTCCAAGAAAAACCTCAATGCAGGAAAATGTCCCAAGGTGTGATCAAAGGAATATGGAGGTGCTGGTGCCTGTAATTTTTCCTTATCAAATATTTATCTAATTCATTGTTAAACAGTGCAATTGGAACTGGATTTACCCTTGTTTCAGTAATATGACAGATTGCAGTAATCCACTGCTTTTTATAATCTCATCTCTGCATCTTTTGCATTACGTTAAATTTTTCTACACTAATCACTGATTCTATCAGAGGAACCAGTTTCCATATACTTACTACATAAAGTGTTGTCATTATTGAAAGATCTTCTAGAAGTGCTCACAATGTTTCTTCCTCTTAAACGAAAGAAAGACACAAGAAGAGAGTATGTGACAGATTAGGAAAAGAGTTAAAGGTGGCATTGGTTCACAGTGATTGGACAGGAGTGTTTGTATGTTGGGAGCATTGAACTCTCCCTGTACCCAATCTGTATTTCACCTCTCATTTTTATGCAGCTTCCGAATGGAGTCACACAAAATCATGTGATGTACCAGGAGCGCTACAACAAACTCCAGGAGCACCTGCGCCAGCTCACCCTGCTCTTCAAGAAGCTGCGGTTGCTGTATGATAAGTGTGGAGAGATGTGTGGTGTCTCTGACGTCTCTGTTACAGAGGTAGCTAGCAACAAACAGCTTTTCTTTCTAAAAGGCTCTCTTTTTCAGTGCAAACAATAGGCCAAGGAAATTGAAATGAAGTCAGGAGTTAATGGGCAGCTCCCGCTTTTAAATGAACGTTCACTTGTCAATCTGGACCCCAGCCGGTCAGTAAGACTGAAACTTTAAAACAGAGTGGAGGTTAACTAACCAGGCTTACAGTTCCTTCCACCACCCAGGGTTACAATTGCTCCCTATGTATATCAACCTGTTCAGAGATGTTATGACACACATCTGGAACTGATGGGACTTGAACCTGGATCTTTTGGATCAGAGATAGGGGACACTAACAATGCGCCACAGGAGCCCTGAAGTGCTCAGGCTTAATAGCCCCCACCACCTGTCTCCTCTTATAAAGATATTAACAAACTGAGCAATGCCATTAACCAGATCTTAACAACAGTGAAGGAAGGACTGATATTGGTCAGCCAAATGGGAGGGGATACACCACAGATATTGTAAAATGGTAGCCGGGCTTAAAGGGTTACTTTATGTTTATTCATAAACCTTTGTTTGTATTTCCATGGTTTAGAAGTTGAGGATCTAATTGAGGTGATTAAAATGATAGGAATTTAACTGAGTAGATACAAAAAACTATTTTCCCTGCTGGGGGAATACAGAAATAAGAGGGTTTAGCCTTAATATTAGGTGATGTCAGGAGCATGGTTTGATACAATAAATGTAATGGAATCTGGAACGCTTGCAAAATACTGTGGGGGATTGGGGTCAGACAAAACTTTCAAGATAGTACTGAATTTTTTTTTTTGTTAGGTTAGGGAATTTAGGAATATGGAGTTGTAGATCACTGTTCTAAATAAATGGAGCAGCAGATTTGAGTTGAATGGCCTTCTCTGTTCTTGTGTTCCTTTTACAAAGTCTGCTGTTTGTACTTTCTCTCGGCAGTTAATTCCTTTCGTGGGTGAGGAGCCCTTCAGACCTTCAGACCTTCCGAACGTTGGCAGTTTAGCAAACAAAGAGTACCAGGAAATCCTCAAGGTAAAGTGGGTGAAGTTGTGGTTTCTGCTGTTCAAATCATTTCTGTCTCCTGTTCATAAAAGTGCAAGAGGGCTTTGGATAAAATCGCCACAGATGGAGCTCTGTCTCCGAAACCACAGACTCTCTCCCTCCAGGATTTTTAAATAATAGCAGCTAATCCGAGATATTGACCAGATAACCTGAGGTGCCATGAGGACTTAATTAAAATTAGTGAGTTGCTGTGATCTGGAACGTGCTGGAATGTCTGAAAGGGTGAACATCGGGAAGAGAATGAAGTAAAAATGACAACAAACACAAGATAAGCTGAATCAATAAGTGGGTGAATGAGCTATCATCCAGGTATTCTGAGTTCTGAATCTTCATGCAGCCAGACATTCCTCCACTCATAGTCCCCTTCTTGTTCCATTCACAATCTGATCTGTGCTGTGTTTTAAGCTACTTTGTCTCACTCTGTCATTACTGGGAGATGTTGATTCATTCTACTGGGAGATGTTGATTCATTCTACTTTGAGATGTAATCCTGAGCTGAGCCAGTTGGTGAGTCTGTATTATAAGGGTCTGTCTGTTACTGGACAAGCTGGATGAGAAGGTAGTATTTAGCCCATCAAATGTCCCTGTCTCCTTGTGTGACTGTAGCTATAGTTGTTTCAATTAGAGATAGCTCAGATTTTCATAAAGATTGAGTTTCTTTATCCAATCTCTATTTCTGATCAATGGGTAGAAATTGGTCATTGAAATACAACCAAGAACTGCCGATGTTGGAAATCTGAAACAAATACAGAAATTGCTGGAGAAACTCAGCAGATCTGGCAGCAGCTGTGCAAAGAAAGCAGAGCTAACATTGCAGGTCCAGTGACCCTTCTTCAGAGCTATTAGTGGCTAGGAAAAGGTGATATATATTTTGAAGACCTTGCAGGAGAGGGCTTACTCCCTCTCCCACCCCCATCCCCTGTCTTCAACTTATATACCATGTTTTCCCAGCTGCTAATAGTTCTGAAGAAGGGTCACTGGACCTGAAACGTTGACTTCTTTCTCACCACAGGTGTTGCCAGATCTGCTAAGTTTCTCCACCAATTCTTTCTTTGTTTCAGAAATTGCTCATCATTGTGTTCCCTCCTCCTTCATTCCTCCTCTTCTCTTGTCCATCAGAATTCTATCCTCTGATCAATAAATAAGTACAGAATAACTTGAGGCTAAGTTAAGAACAGCAGAGAATTATTAACCTATTCACATGCCTGCTGTATTACAAGTAGTAAACTACTGGAGGTCGTGCTATGTTCTTGGACTTTCTTAAATGTCAGATTATTTTACCCACTCACATCGGACCGTGTGTAATTTATGTAAAATATTGCTCATTAAGATAGTTTTCTTTTAAATGCCAAGGACTCTTGTGCTATATAGGCCTGTGCCAGATAACTCCCCAATTACTGACTAATTCATGTCTGAAAGCAAATTGCAAATAATTAGTTAAAAGGTCAGTGTGATCATTATTGTGGAAAAAAATGCCAAGTGCTACTAGGTCCTAGTGTTGATACATCTGGGTAAATTCATTACCCTGAAACAGTACATCTCAGGGTCACATCTGGGGCTTTTAGGATAATCTGATCTATTGTAATATGCAAAAGAGCATATTGTTTCACAGAAGGGACTTCAGTTGTGTGAAAAGACTGTGGAAGCTGGGAGTTCTGTTCTCCATGCAGAGAATATTGAAGTCGGATTTGATTGAAGTGTTCTAAATCATGAAGGATCTCAATAGAGTACAGCAAATAAGGAGAAACAATGACCAGTGGCAGAAAGATTGGTAACCAGTGGAATCAAATTTAAGGCAAGGAACCAAACAGCTGATGAGAATTCTTTCTTTCCCACTGCATTTTGAATGCAGTGTCTGAAAGGGCAGAGGAAGCAGATTCAGTGAATGTTTTGTCCGGGGCACCAAGATAGAATTCCCACTCGTCTTTGAAATAGCTGTGAAATCTCTAGCACCCACCAGAGAGGGCAAAGTGGATCTCGACTGTGTCAGAAAACATGGCTATAAGTTATTGAAAGAAGGAGGGAAATGGTGGCCTTATCTGATAGAAGGAGAAATCCCTTCTCCCTGAGACCAGTGAGTCTGTAGAATTCTCTGCCATAGCAAACTGTTGATGTCAAAACATTGAAGACCTCGAACAAAGATGTAGATATAGCCCTTAGGATTAAAGGACAAAGGAGATAGGGAGAAAGTGGATATTAAGGATAATAAGTTGAATGATCAGCTACAATCATATTGACTGGCAGAGCAGACTCCAGGGGGCTGAATGGTCTACTGCTCCTGTTTCCCATATTTCTGTTTTCTTAAATATTCTGTTTGGTTTTGTTTTTCTCCTAGAAGCTATATCAGAAGAACCATGAATTGAAGCATATTATGGACCAGCTACGAAATCTCATTTGGGACATCAATTCTATGCTGGCAATGAGGAACTAAAATCCCAACACAAATCCCATTGTTTCAGAAACTGACCTCTCCGTCTACATCATTGTAAACAAAAACTTTTCATGTTTTTTAAGTTGTTTCTGCACTGTGTATATATTTTTTTAATTCTACGTTTACAGAAAAATTAAAAGAAAAAAAAAGTACAGGGAAGGGGGGGATTAATTTGACAGATCAATGACTACATTGCCCAGTAAATTTGTTCTGACATTGAGTCTTGAAGTTGTGTGTGCATTATTTGAATGTGCAAATTGTGATCAGATCCTGTTTATGAATTTAATGAAGGCAAAAGGGTTTTGGTGGCTGCTTTGAGAGTCGGGGAAAATGCTGTTTTGCTTTGTCTGTGAAGGTCCACCACATTTATGTGCTTGGTGTCCCATGGTGCACTTTCCATAGAAATACCTTGACCAATTACAGTCCACTTGCCCTTTTTGAATTTACACATTAGGCCCCTCTGTTCCCTGATGCATGGAAATGCCCCAAACAATTAGCATTCTTTTCTCATGTGCTATCAATTGTTGGTCCGTTTTGAAATCTGGTATTCTTGCATCTGACTTGATGCTATGTGCTTTGCAATTGTCTTTATTTTTCAAGCAATACTTAAATTTTGTACTATCAAGTGACTAGGTGAACGATCAGTGGATTCACTTTATAGCTGGATGTTCCTTACAGACAGAAATAAAAATAACAATGTCTAACGATTCAAAGTAAAGGACTGCATGTATTAGCCAGCTAGAGGGAGTTGTCAGTGGCCTTGAGTCAAACAGCGCAGAGACCCTTCAGCTTAACCTATCAAAACGAATCCCACTTTTCTAACTTTTGATTCGTAACCTTTAATGTTATGACTTTTCAAATGCTTATCTACATACTATTGTAAAGGTTGAGGTTTCCCACCTCTACTTCCCTCCCAGGCAGTACATTTCCAGATTCCCTCCACACTCTCGGTGAAAAACACTTTTTCTCAAATCTCCTGCTGTTGACCTTAAAATTATGGATTTGTTAGTGACCCTTTCAGCAAGGGAAGAGCTACTTTCTATGAGGGGCATGGGCAGCATGGATAATGCTGTACATCTCTATTGGGTCTCCCCCCTCAACTCTCTCTGCTCCAAAGAAAATAACCCAAGCCTATCTACATCATTGAAATTTCCATCCCAGGCAACATCCTGGTGCATTTCCTCTACATCCCTTCCAGTGCAATTCCATTCCTAACTTTTGGTGATCAGAACTGCACATAGTACTCCTGCTGTGGCCTAATTAAAGTTTTGAACAGCTCCAGCATAACCTCCCTGTTCTTACTATCTACGCCTTGATTAACAAAGACATTTGCTGCATTAACCATCCTATTAACCTGACCTGCTGCTTTCAGGGATCTATGGAAAAGCATCCCCAGATCCTTCTGACCTAGTATCCTGCCATTCATTTGAGTATACCTTTCTCTTGTTATTACTTCCTAAATGCATCACCTCTCGTGCTGCAATTCCATCTGCCCAACTTGTCTATATACACTCATAGAATTCCCTCCAGTGTGGAAAGAGGCCATTCGGCCCACCAAGTCTGCCCTTGCACCTCCAAAGAGGTGCATACCATCCAGCCCCTACCCTATAACCCCACCTAACCTGCACACTACAGGGTAATTTCAGCATAGGCAACAATCTAATCTGCACACCTTCGGACGGTGGGAAGAAACTGGAGCACACAATAGAAACCCATGCAGAGATAGTAGGAACTGCAGATGCTGGAGAATCTGAGACAACGGGGTGCAGAGCTGGATGAACACAGCAGGCCAAGCAGCAGGAAGGCTGACGTTTTGGGCTGAAGGGTCTAGGCCCGAAACGTCAGCCTTCCTGCTCCTATGATGCTGCTTGGCCTGCTGTGTTCATCCAGCTCTGCCCCTCGTTGTCTCAGAAACCCATGCAGATGGGCAGAATGTGCAAACTCCATGGAAATGGTCATCCAAGGCTGGAATCGAACCTGTCTCCCTGAGGCAGCAGTGCTAACCGTTGAGCCACCGTACTGGCCAGTAATAGCATCCTGTAACCTAAGACCATATGTAGAAAAATACAAATTATCAGGTTGTTTCTGTCAATTAATGAAAAGTATTTGTTAAATTGATCCTTTTGTAATCTGTTTGAATTACATAGCACAATCTAATGCTCGTCACATGTTAGTCAATTTTATCATGGTACTCTGGGTTTACTTTGCATTCAGAGGGGATGCTGACTCCCCGAGGACTCACCTCAAAATCCATTGTTCCATCAAGCCCAAGGAGTCCTGGTAAGCTTGTATCAACACCACCAAACGAAGGCCAGGATCACAGGGTTACTTTTCTTGTCTGTCCAATCCAACAACAAGCTCCCACATGTACATATGGATATTAGACATAGATGGGATCAGGCTTGCTTGTGATGCCATTGGTAGGCAAATAGCCAGACAGCACTCTTTCCTGAACTAGCACCAAAAGAACGGCCACATGTAAGAGACACTGGAAGAACGATACCCTGATATACATTAGTGGAGCAGCCCACCACAATGAGACACCGATGGGGGATGAAGTGCTACTAAAGAGAAATATTCTTGACAAAAGACATACCTTTTATGGCCTGGTTTCATTTGTAAATGAATAACACAAAATGGTGCTTTTTGCTTGCTATCTCTTACCAACAGATCCTTTCGCTGATATGCATCAATACCTTTTTATCTGCAGACCCAACAATTCCAATTGTCTCCCATCCAGCTGCCCATCAACTACCCTCCATGAATGGTGAGTTCATCTAAAAACCCGGTCCTAACACAAAGACCAAGTAGTCAGCAGCCAGCTTTTACAGGCCTGGGGGAGACGTGTAATGGCTAGTGGGCCTTCTGCCTCTCAGTGGGAGCTACGCACCCCATTAATGAAAACACACCAGGTGGGGCATTCTAATATCCACCGTGCCTCATCCCTGTATTCACCAACCTATACTAGACACCCGGACAAGTAATGCCTCAGTTTCAAAATACTCATTGTTCAAATTCCTGCCCATCTGCTCTCCTCCAATTTGAGCTTCTTGACCATTATTGCTCTATTGTGGGCAGCCATATCTTCAGCTGCTCAGTTGGAATTTCTTCCTCTGTCTCTCAAAATGCATCTTAAAGTCTCTCTGGGCAAGGGTTAGGTCACCTAGTCTAATATCTCCCATGTGCCTCCATGCCAAATGTTCTTCGATTCTGATCCAGTAAAGTGCATTAGAATGTTTTACTAGGTGAAAGTTGCAAATGTGTACTGGTGGTGGAGGGAGTGGATGCTTGGGATGTTGTGCCAATCAAGTGGGCTATTTTGTCCTGAATGTTGTCAAGCTTCACACTTCAGAAGTGCAGCTCCAAGTCCTGGAGCTGCACTTGTCTAGGAAAGTGGAACTATTCCATTACACTCCTGACTAGTACCTTATGATGGTGCTAAGGCTTTGGGGAACCATGAGGTGTTATTTTCTGCAGTTTTCCGAGCTTTATATGACAAGTTTAGTCGAGTTTCTGTTCACTGGTAACCATCAGGATGTTGATAGTGGGGGATTCAGTGATGGTTAGGAATAGTGGTTAAGTTGTCTCTTATTGCAGATAATCATTGCCAAGTATTTGTGTGGCACAAATGCTACTTGCCACGTCAGCCCAAACCTGGATACAGTCCAGATCTTGTTGGATTTGAATGTGGACTGTTTCAGTATCTCGGGAGTCGCGAATGGTGCTTAACATTGATGACTACACAATGAACATCCCTACTTCTGACCTTATGATGGAGGGAAAGTCATTGATGAAGCAGCTGAAGATGGTTGGGTCTAGGAAGATTGCTGCGAATGCTTCAGCCTTATCTTTTGCACTGATGTGCTGGCCTCTTTCATCATTGAGGATGGGGATGTCTGTGGAGCCTCTTCCTCCAGTGAGTTGTTTAATTGTCTACCACCATTCACATAGATCTGATCTGTTGGTTGTAGAATCGCTTTGTTCTCTCACTTGCTGTTTATTGCTGTTTGGCATGCAAGTAATCTTGCTTTTGTAGCTTCACCAGGTTGACACCTCATCTTCAGGTATGCCTGGTGCTGCTCCTGGCATGCTGTCCTACCCTCTCCATGGAACCAGTGTTGATCCCCTGGCTTGATGGTGATGGTTGAGTGAGGGAATATGCTGGGTCATTGGTTTGCAGATTGTATTGGAGTATGATTTTGCTGTTCTTGTTGGCACACAGTGCCTCATGGATGCCCAGTCTTGAGTTGCTAGATCTGTTCAAAGCAAGTCCCATTTGGCATGGTAATAGTGCCATTCAGCACAATGGAGGGTATTCTCAATGTGAAGGCAGGACTTCATCTCCACAAGGACTGTGCAGTGGTCAATCTTACCAGTAATGTCATGGACAGATGCATCTACAGCCTGGTCCTTTTCTCTCAATCAGTTGGTTAGAAGTCAGAGAGAACCTTACTGAATTTGTCCACAAACTCTCAATTGTTAACTGTTATGAAACTGTGTGATTAGGTAATTCATGGATTGATGTTCAAGTCCCTAATATTTTTCTTACATATTGTTTATCTTGTCAGAGACCTAATTTGCTTTTTCTTTTGAAGTAACGTCTTTCTTTCCATTGAGGCTCACAAGTTCATACTACACCTTATACCGTTACTTCCACCAGGGGTAATTATTTGGAATTCTGAATCTCATAAATGCTGGTCTCAATTTTACGTAAATCAACTGCAAGCCAGTGTTAATAACAATTATCACACTCTAGAGGTATTGATGCAAAGTACTTCTCATAATGCTGAACACAATGCATGGTCTCGTGCCTGAGGTTTACATGATTCAATTATGGGATGTGAATTTTGCAGGTAAGACCAACATTCTGTTCTCCATTCCTAACTGGTCTTCAGTGGGACATGATCATTGAAATCCTGAGGTATATTTGGATATGTCACTCCTGTTAATGAATATCTGAAACTCTTCCTTGGAGTGCAGCCTTTGGTGATACATACATTTTAAAGCATATTTTAGTTATTCTGTTGGATATGCTACTTGCCCCAGCCTAGTTTGTACTGAGTCCTGTTCAGTCATCATCCCTGTGCTCACTGACCTACAGTTGTTTCTGGTCCAGCTACAAAATTAGCACCCTTATTTACGTTCAATTTTGTTTAATAGTGGTCCTGTAAAGTACCTTGAGATGCTTTACTGCATTAAAGGCACTATATAAGTGCGAGT